GAGCGGGGCGCGCTCCGGCACCGCGGCGCTGGCGGAGCGGGGCGGGAGGGGGGTCCCCGCCGCCTCGTCCCGCCCGCAGACCCCGCGGGGGCTGCGCGGTGACCCGCGGGCTGTGCGCGTCTCTTCGCAGGAGGCCGAGATCCCGCAGGAGCTCATCGAGCGGCTGGCGCACAGCGAGATCCACAGCATCCGCGACCTGCAGCGCCTCCTGGAGATTGACTCCGTAGGTAAATTAGTCCCGTCCTCCTTCCTTGCGCGCCCCGCGGGGGGCTCCGCGGCCGCAGGCCCCGGCGAGGGGGTCGCTCCTGGGGGCCGCGGGGGCCCCCGCGCCCCTCCCGGCGCAGCGGCAGCTCCGGGGGGTTGAGCCCCTGCGCCCGCATCGCGCCCGTGCCTTTCAACTACCGTCCGAGAGGCATTTAAAATATTTGAAACAATATTTATGAATGAAGTAATGTCTCTTCCAGAGCTGGGCTTTGTTAGAAGGAAAATAAACCCTCCGCGCTGATTTTAAGCAGGAGGCTGCCTATGAGGCTTACTCTTGAAAATACGCTTTTTTTTTTTTTTTTTTTTTTTCTCTGGAGAAAAATAGCCCGGGTTATTTTCTGCATCATTAGGCATGCAAATGGGTGTAGTGAGAACGCGCAGTTCAAACAGATCGTTGCAGCAGTAAATCAGCTCCGGGAGCGCTGGGGAGCCGAGCTCCTTATCGTTTGGTTTCACTTGATGCACTTTGCTCCCGGTGCTTTCGTCTCTCCGTTGAGAAAGAAGCAACCCGGCACCTTTGATGTGCCCAGGGGAAACCTGCATCTTCCCGAGAACAAACATGGAGCAAAATGAATGAGTTCTTGCTTGCGTTGGGCCCGGGCCATCTCCCTTTAAACCATATACTGTGTATTTTTGTAAAGTCTCTGCCAGGTTCAATCACCTTCATTCAGGGCTGCAGGATCCTTCATGGGTTTAACTGGCTGTTTTTTTTTGTGTAGCGCCGTATTCATGAGCAAGGAACGTGTTTTACGGATGCAGCTTTCAATTTTCACGCGATTAGGGAGCAGGCAGCTTCCCATTACCCTGGAAATGGGAATATTCTGCTCTTGCACAACACCTCGCCGGAGAGGCAAATTGCTAATTACCCGATTCGCTGGCATTGGTTTCCTATTTTTGGAGAGCAGTCCTTCATCGTTATTGCTTATCGTTGCAATTAGAGGAGCTTTCACAACAGCCAGGGGGAATGCAATCCGTATTTCCCCACTCGAGGCCGTTTTGGAGCAGACAAGTGCGCTGCTGCTGCAATCTTTTTCCCCGTGACCTCAGGGGGAGGCTCGGCTGTGGCTGCAGGAGGGCTGGACCCGGGAGCTGGGATTTGAGCACAGCGCTCGCGTCTTCCGCGGGCTTCTCGCGCTGCGTTCCGTAGCTACCAGAATATATTATTTGTATAGTGTAACAAGCGCACGCTTCATTTCTAAATGCCACTTGCAAGGGGAGCAAAAGTTCATGCGGCTCCGTCGCAAGGGAGGCGAGCGGAGCGGTGGCGGGAGCTGAATACGTTAGGAGATGTGGCACATCAGAGAAATGTATTCCACAGAGTAATTATTTACCCCGTGGCAAATACTAAGCAGAGGATGCGTGACCAGACGGCGGAGAGGGCAGCCCCAAGTTTACTGTTTTCGTTTTACTCTTCTCGTGCAGCTCATCAGTTTAGGAACCATTAAAGAAACAAGATGCATGAATATTTCACTAGCTTGCCATGAAATAGTAATGCCTTAAGACACAGACTCAAAACAGTGTTAAAAAATGAGATGGAAACAGTCTGCCTTCCACCCTGGTCTTGCACGTGAGCGTTTTTGAGCTGCACAGGCCAGACGGGATCTTTGCAGAGAGTAGCCAGGCTTTGCTGCCCCGTTCCGTGTTTTCTGGGCATGGTCCTGCAGTCCTGACTGCCATGAGTAATTCTTGCGAAGGGTTTATCAGTGTGACTAATCGAGCATTGAAATTACCCTGTTTTCTTCAGTAAACAGGATTGGGCCTGTTTTCTATATTTAATGTTATGCTCAGATTAGCAAATCAGACGCTTTGCACTTCGCACTGGCAGGCTGGTATTTCTGAAACGTATTTTCTTACAGCTGTAATTGTGTTTGGAAAAGGGTTAGTTCAGTGAGGGCCTGTGCAGTAGATGTATTTCTGCTTTGTAGCAAATGCTGATTTAAACCAAGGATCTGAATAAAAACCCTCCAGGGATTATTTTCTCTCTCGTTTTAGTCCATGATGTTGCCGGTCCTTTTGCATGTGAGTAGCCCTGCTTCAACTCAGTGGGTGGACCCGGGAATTAAGAATGATCTTGTAGGGGAAGAGTTTGCAGGATCAGGCATGCATGCAGAAAATGTCTGATATTCTCAAGCAGCAAGGCAGAATCTGTGGAAAATGAGGGGAGAACAGCCAGTTTCTCTCCTGCAATGCAAAGTATATATTTTTAATTGGAAAAGTAAGTTCTCCAAGTCAGAGTGGGCAGGTTTTTCTTGTATTCTGACAGATTTGGTCGCTATATTGTAGCGCAGAGATGACTGATAACCCCCTTCATAAAATTAGAAACCACACCCCCAGACCATCTGGCATATTACTTAAAGAAAAACACTACCCAACATGGAGCTTAGCATTGTTTTCGATAGGGAAGATCCAGGCCAGTTTGGCAGAGCGCGGTGCCGCGTGTCCGGCTCCGTGCGAAGGCAGCGGGGTCTCGTGTTAAACACGCTGTGACCGGTATCCACCATGTGCAGTGGATCTCACCGGCGCGATGGAGAGCTCCGTTTGACCCTGTTTAAAACAGAAAGCGTTTTCCTGGTGCCAGGAAGCCGGCAGCTTGCAGCGTGCGGAGCTCCCAGCTTTACTACTAGCAGACTAACTCCCTGAAACGGGGGCATTTCCTTTATTCCGCCCGTGAAGTTCTGCCTTGGTGGTTTTTCTCCTGGGGCTTCACCTCTCCCGGCTGTCCCGTGGGAGGCAGGGTTCTTTTTGTCGCCTGTTGCGTTTGCCTCCCGCTGGGAACAGACTTTCCCCCCGTGGTGTCCCTGCGTGGGGAAGTGCAGGGCTGTGTGCGCTTTGTCGCGTGGTTTAAGGGCAGCAACCGCAGGGTCACCTTAGGCCGTGTGAATTTAACGGCCTGTGATTAAGAGCTAGCAGGGCAGCCTGTGCTAAGAGGAGGTAGGTTCTAAATTAGCAGTATATCTTTATGGAAAGTGTTAGATCATTGCATCCAAGGGCTCCATCCATTGGAAAAATGGGGTGCTGTCTTAGGGCTGGTGGTTTTTCTTGGTGTGGGGCTCAAATCAAAGATGTTCTGATACAAGGTGCTAAACCCTTCTGTAGCCCCGAGACTTCATGACCAGCAAGCATCTACCATGTGCCTTGCATTTCCCCAAGGCATGTATAGAGAATGCTCCTCCTTTGCAGTTGGTTGATCATGTCTGGATAAGGGAGGGGAAGAAAGGTCTAAACAAAACAGGATCTTGAAGGCTGCTACTTATATTTCCTTTAACAGATCAAAGTTGAAAACTGCATTTGGATGTCAGAAGGGCATATTTTGCATGAGCCAGAAAGCAGATCAAACAAACAGATTGACGTTGCCTTGGGCTTTCTGGCTCTAGGACCCATTTGCAAGACAGACTATTTTGGTTTATTGCACCTTACACAGAATTCATGAAAAAGAGATAATGAGAATTTCCTAAGCTGGTGGCACTAGAAGGTTTGGGCCTGTACATTCTGGGTGTTCATCAAAGTGACATGTGGAAGAGTGTGTGCTAAGGTTGCATTGTATTTAAGATTGTACCTACACCTAAGATTTGTTCAGAAAGGAGATGGCAATGTGGAAATACAAGGCTATGAATATAAAGGAACACTAGTCTTCGAAAGCTTTCCACATGCTTGTTTAGGAGACCAGTGATCGCATTGGCAGGATGTCACAGATCTGTGTGATTTATATGTTAGCTACACCATGATCTAGTGGAAAAATGCCAATCCGACCAAAAAGAACAGTTTCAGCTACGTTAATGGATTGACCAAGGTAATTGCGAGGGTTTTCTACCCATCATTGAAATGTTGTCAGTAAAGAAAAGATTACAGAGAGATTTCTTGATCATCTGCCATGAAAGCATTTTTTTTCTTATTAAAATGTTGAGAGCTGCATTAATCTAGCTCAGTGCAGCAGCCTCCATCTTCGCTTAGTGACAAGCAGCGCTTGATTTCTAAACTGAGAACCACCCATTTCTAAGCTTTCTGCTTCAAGCTTCTCTTTGTAAGGTGCTAAGCACCCATAAACTCCCCTTTTCCTGAGACCGCTCGTTCTGCAACTTCATAGTCAGTATATTGGGAAAATGGGTGCAAATTCTGACATGATTCATTGGGAAATGCTGTTGCCAGATCCTATCAGGCCTCTTTAAAGTCAGACCAGAGAGAGCAAATTATTGTAGCATCCCTGCTACAGTCCCATCAAGGAAAAGGTCTTTGGGCCACAGATCCAGAGTGAAGTGTGGGATTCCAAGCTGGACTTTCTGTCTTTGCAGCCCTGCTTGGGCAGGACTCCTGTTGACTTGAAGATCTCTGAAATCTGATGACTTTTCCAATGACTTCAGTGGGAAACGGAATGACTCCCAAATGCCCGTGGGGACCAAGGAGAGACCAAGTGCACTCAGCATCATAGCAGTTGTCTGACACCAGCCACATGCTCTGTAGTGCTGTTTATTTAAAAAAAAAATAAAAAAATAAAGAAATAAATGGCAACAGAGAAATACAATTTGTGTTACATAATGCATTGAGGTTTCACTGGAACTTGCTTTGCAGTCTGCTGTGCTAGTTCTATAAATCTCTTTTTATTTTAATCTAAGAAATCCCCATCTGCAACAGGACATGAACCTATGAAATAATATACATGCCTAAGATATGTAGCGAGACAGCAAAACACAGTATGAGCCAGAGGCCTTCCTCACCTTAGAAATTGTCTTATAAGCAACACATGCTCCTCGACATGTCACTTTGCTTTATAAACACGATGATAGAATATGGCTAATTGCGCCTAAGTTGAGCAGTTATATATAAGCACATGGCTTAACATATTGGTTAGCTAATCATACTATTCCTTTGGTCTTACCGGTTTCTCTAAACAAGACAGCATGGAATCAGTCACGTTGAAAGGGAGCGATGCCAGTGTGTTGGATACGGGATTAGGAGCTGGGGCTCGGGCCCTGGACAGCTGGCACCAGTGGCGGGTTCTCTTTGCAGCAAGATGTGCCCACCAAGCAGCTAGGATTAAAGGCATTCATTTTACGCTTAATCCTATCCCTTTTAACACTGGTTGCGTGCACTTGTTGATCTTGAGCCTGGCTTGGGTCTTACATAGAGCAAAACTCATGCTGCTTTCTTGTGGGCAGCACTTCAGTGCCTCAGAATGAGGGAAGGGCTGTGACAACCTGAGCTTGCCAGGAGGGAGGTTGGTGTGAAGGTGCTGGGTGGCTGCGCAGGAGGAAGCAGGAGAGGGCTGGAAGAAGATCAGAACGGATCCTCGTTTTGCACGACGCCCGCCGGGTCAGGTGGATGGCCCGGTGCCATCGGAAGGGGATGCTGGCGCTGGCCCCCGGCTCGGCTTCAGGCTTCCTGCGGGATCTCATGCAGTCCCGCTGATTTATCCCACCGATCACTTTTCCGGAGCACGGGGCCTGGTAGAAGCAGAAATAAAATCCATTAGTCATTGCTGTGCTCGAACCTTACAGGGTGGGGGACTGCAAATACGGTCCCTAGTCAGCTAACCAGTCAGGTTGAAAAATTCCCATGAAACTCAGTGGGAAACAAGCATTCTGTACAGGTATTAGGAGGGAGCCCTAGATTTCACTTATTTCAGACACGAACCTGTTTTACTGATGAGAAAAACAGGCAGGATGGACAAGTGGATGTGCCTGGCACTGTCTTGTGGATCTCTCCATTTATCTTCCCTTAACTAAGGATGGGAAAGGATGTCCAAAGACATGCTTTTCTATAGAGCAAAGATATACCTTAAGGCACAGAGCTCATGCTGAGCTTGCCATTTTATCTTTCCAGGCTCTGGAGGCTATTTCCCTAGTTGCATGCTCTTTTGGGCAGCTTTTCTTGGCATGAGGAGGAAAGGAGGCAGTTTTTTTTCAGAGCCTTCCCATCTCGTTTGTGGTATTAGCAAAGCTGGGCAAAAAAGTTGCAGCGTCACCAGGGCCTATTCTGAACTGTGCAAACTGGAAGCAGGTCGAGTTGGCGGGTTAAAAGCAGCGTGATGAGGACGATGGGATGTAGGCAGCACGTGGGCAGGGTAATTGGTTATTGTGTAATCATTTACATTTTCTTAGTGTATATCACAGCTTGCTTTGGAGCCAGCAGTGAAGCCTAGAAACCCTGCAGGGATGTTACAGAGGGGCCTTCAAGCAGCGGAGTGCTAAAAATCCACGTTTAGCTGGGCTGGAGCCCATAGGCGGTGCCCAGTTTGCTTCTGTCTTCCTGCTCCCGTTTGCAGATTGCGCTGGTGCTTTCAGAACCCCACTGCAGGGGACAAGACCTGGGCTGCTTCCCTTAACAAAACCAAATAGTTGTAGCAGTTATTTTGTTGCTTTCTATGATAAATGAAATGCCAAGTTTTCCCTCCTTGCTTTTTCTCATGGCCCTTTAACCCATGTGGTAGGCTTATTTAGGGAACAAGACAAGCCTGGATGCGGTCCCAGAGTTTGCAGTAGCTTCAGATGCCCCTCCAAAGGTTAGGATACTTCACAGGGGATTTGTTCTGCTACAGAGAGGCTAAAAGGAAAACCATGCTAGTTACTTCTTGCTTTTGATTCTGTCCTAGTATTGTCCCGAAAAGCAGGCAAGAGAAAATTTACAGAAGCAGTATTGTTGCTGCTGGGGGTATAATGCTGTATTTTGTACTGGAGCCTCCTGCCAGAACTTCAAGAAACTTCTTCTAAGACACATTTTAAGTGACATATTGTTGTTCTTATACCTTTCCAGTAAGAAAGTTTTTTTTTTTTCATGAAAATGCAGCTGTCTTACTTTAGATATGGCTCTGTTGCAGAGCAGGCACTGCTTCAGGGGACTTCCGGTAAAATGGATATTAGAGTGAAATTGTGCATGCTTATATATGACATTAAATGCTAATGCCTTCTCTGCCTTATGCCCTTCCAGTTGCACTGGCAGGGATTATATTAGACTTGTTACAGGAGAATTTGGTTTTATGCACATGAACAACATATTATGTATGGAACAGCACTGAAGTGACATTTATTGTTATAACACAGCTAAGATTTACTATGTTGTTTCCTGTTTTAGGGTATGAGGATGTTTCAGAATCAAACTTGAGGTCCTACAGTGTTCATTCTGCTAAACATGCGCAAGAGAATCGTCCTGTGCCCATTCGCAGAAAAAGAAGCATTGGTAAGAAACGAGCTATTCGTGCAGAGGGTAAAAACAGAGGGGGGGCTTTTGGTCAGCCAAGCAGGACGTTTCACTGGAAAAATGTGACACGCACAAAGGAAAAAAAGGCCATTTCTAGTTGCTGCCTTTTTGTGTGCACAAAATGAGCGTTGCCTGAGAAGCTATCTGCTGGAGGATGTCCATAGGAGCCAGGCGAGCACAAATTCTTTACATTCAGTTTCTTGTTGCAGCATGTTAGGAAGTTGGGCCATGGTTAGAAAATGCTGTGATATTCAATGTATAATTCATAGTGTGGGGAACAACTACAGCAGTGTGCTTTAAAAAACATCAACAGTTGGTAGAGTTTTCAGTACAGAAGCTGTACAAAAGGAAACAGCTTGACTCTATTTAAAAGAAAAAAAAACAAAAAGAGTTTATTCAAAAAATTAAAAGCGATTGACAGAAGTGCTGGGGCATTGATTTCCATCCTTAGTAGGGCACCAGGAATGTTTACAAGGGTTTTTTTTTCTTTAAAAAACATTAACAATGGTTCAGCCAAGTCCAAATATGAAATTAAAGAGATGTCAGTGGATTTTAGATCGGGATTTTTATGCCACTCTTGTCCATATGATTAGGGCAGCAGCTTGAAGCCGCCTGCTGCGCTTGGCCTCTCTCTCTGCAAGGTGCCCAATTCCTCCCCATAGACGTCAGGGGGAACACGATATGCTCAATAACTTGCAGAAGTTTTCAGCCAACTTGCAGTATTGGATCTGTTTAGCCCACCAAAATGCCTCTCTCCCAAAGCCAAACCTAGATTTTTCAGGCCAGGCCTGAATTTCTTAAACTGCAGAGGTTGCTGAAAAATCCCTGGCCCCATCTGCTCCAAAGCTCTCACTGCTTCCACTGGAAGGCAAAAAAACTCAACCTGCCTTCGAATAACATATTGAATGAGCTGTCCCTGATATTGCTAGTATTTTGTGAGCTGTTTTTCTTTTGAATTAATCAGCTTTGCTTCTTGGGCAGTCCCTTGGTTGAAAAGATGAATGGTTTGGATTTTTTTTTTGTGGCAGCACCATAGCACAATGCTATTCCTTTTTGATCTTTATGTGTTTGGCTGTCTACAAGCTCAGCTTACCTGGGCCTAGCAAAATCTTGGTTTAACTAAAAATCACATTGCAAGCTCTTTGCTTTCACACTACTCTGGTGATTTTGCCTTATTCAACAAATCACAAGTCAAATAAACCCCAACATGTAGAAAGCTTTGATAATTTCAGTGAGAAAGAGGAGCAGTTGCCATTTGGGATAGTGGATGGAGCCAGTGCGCGGGTACAGGGATGCTGAGGTTGTGGAAGGGGAAACCCAGAACTCAGAAATTTCAGGCTGGCACAGGTGGTTTCCCAGCTCAGCCAATTTGGGTGTGAGATAAATATTCTCAGTGCAACTTCTGTGGTGGTGTTTGCAATGTGTTGCACATTTGTGTGACAGTATCTATATGCAATGATAGCCCCAATATTGTAAAATAACAGCTGCTGTTGAGCACTGGCTAGGAAGCCGTATTGGAGGATCATCTCATTTGGAGAAGCCCCTGGCTTGCTGTCAGCTCTGAAGAGCTGTCAGGCGGTGTGTGCTCCGAGCTGTGCTGGGACTCAGAGCTTTAGCAACCCTCAGTTTAGGACAGGGCCTTGTGGAGCGGCCCAGGCTCCTCTCTGGGGCAGCACACGGCGCGTAGGACAGGGCAGGCAAAGGGGACTTAGCACCGAATCATGAGTAAGCAACGGGAAGCGAGAACCTTGTCTCCAAACCCCTGCTAAAGCTGCCAGTCATAATTTGGCGGTGTAAAGTATCCGGGTGCTCGGAGGTGAGAGCAGCTGTTCACCTGCAAGTGTGAATTTCTTCTGCTTGCAGAGGAAGCCATCCCGGCTGTCTGCAAAACACGGACGGTTATATACGAGATACCTCGGAGTCAGATCGATCCCACCTCCGCCAACTTCCTGATATGGCCGCCCTGTGTGGAGGTGAAACGGTGCACGGGCTGTTGCAACACCAGCAGCGTGAAATGTCAGCCCTCGCGGATACACCACAGAAGCGTCAAGGTGAGCGCATGGTGACGGCGGGACCCTCAGGGGCTCCCCTTAAATTAGCAGCTTCGGGTGTTCTTGTGGCTGCCCTGTGTTACCTGATCCTTGTTATCCATCCTCGTGGCAAGTGCGTTGGGAAACTGCTCCTCTTCACTCTGTGGGAGCTTTTCAAATTACATGATTATTGGAAAATGTTTGGTTTGGATTTGGTTCTCATAGGATTCCCTGTAGGTTTTCGTCTTCTGTAAGGAAAATAAAGTTGATTCTGCGTTTCCCATGATCTTGCATAGAACAGAACTTGAAGTTAAGGAGATAAAATGACTCAAGGGGCATTGGACAAAAAAAATAAATCACAGTATGGAATGCTGTTTTCTTAATTAAATATTATGCAGCCTAAATTGGGCTTTTATATTTGACAACATAACACTTTTGATCTAAAAAAATGTGTTTCAAATTATCTTACCCCAGGGATAGAAGACTCAACGGCTTCATGCTGTATTTAATCTTTAGAAAAAAAAAAAATCCATTTCTCCCTGTTGCAGTTTTCCAGTAAATATTACGTGAAATATTTCTATGTTCACGGGGCTTCACTGTGTTCTAATTTTTATCAGTGTTTGAACTAATATTGATTTACATTTATGTGCAGGAGTTTAGACTTATACTAACGATTTATTATCAAACCTATGAATTTATGTTGCTTTGAGTATTTTGAGAGCAGAATTTGTTTAAAAAAGAACATTCTTGAACATAAAATGGCCCAGCACAGCACATTGATCATTCTACTTGCAATTGATTTCTTATTAAGAAAGGTGCTATTAACCCATGTAGCTCTGTATGCTCTGAACACCAAGTGTGACACCTGAGCCAGGTCACTGCTGCTCCTGCACGAAGTCACACACCTGAGCAGGACACCTTATTCTTTTTCCTTTTTCCTTTCTTTTTCCTGATTGTATGAAAACATTTTCACACTCAGATAAGCTGGAGAAACATCTGAACACATTTCCTCAGTCTTTCCAAAAATAATTATCCTTTACATTTGCTTGTTACCCTTTCTTTGGTGGACTTTGCAGAAACAATTAAAAATGAGGTTAAAAAAAATGGGATCGATTTAATTAATTGAGGACTGAGAAGAAGCTGGGGAAGTTGCTGCCTTACAGCTGTAAGCCATTTAGAATAGGAGCTTAACGGGAAAGCAACTCCTGGACTAAACCTGGAATATGTGATGCTATTACCTGTGTATTTCATATTGCTTTCAATTACTTTTGTACAGCAACTAATACATGGAAAGGTGTCCAGGGAAGAGCTGTGCTGTGTATGATGCGCTTGTGTGGTGGGGCTGTGTGTCCCAGAGCAGCTCTGTGCTTGTCACCCACCTCAGCAGTGACAGAGAGAGACAGAAAGGAGAGACTTGGCTGAGGTCTCTCCTGCTGGAGTGCTCCATGCACCCTAAATTCCCCACTTGCAAACTCTACTGGCAGCAGCTTTGCAGGGACATCGTTTCTGGGGCTGCTGCCCCAGTCTCGTACTGTGCTGGAATCTCAGTGCCTCATCCAGGCTGTGGATATGGTTTTAGAGCTTTTAGATTTGCGTTCATTTTAACAGGGCGCAAGCTAAAAGTAGGCTCAGCTGAGCAGCTGCTTTTTGTGGCTGTGTAAATATATTGCCACCAGCAATATCATTATACATCAGCCAGCTTTGGAGGACCTTTTTTTTTTTTTTTTTTTTTTCCCAAGCTCCAAGACTGCTCCAAAGAGTCATTAAGTACAAGAGAAAAAAAAGGACAAGGGGTCAAGCAGGAACAGGATGTTCATTGTAAAGGTTGTATGCTGACCCCACTGTCACACCAGAAGTTTCTGAACAGAATCCACATTTATGCCCTCCAGAGTCAGATCCTCTTGTAACTTTGATATAATTGATGGTTTTATGAGCCTTTCGCCAAGCCTGCGTTCAGAGCTCAATGTCTGCTCGTGCCATGAAGTAGCTGGCCCAGAGCGAGGGTGGCTGGCAAGGTAGGGGGAGAGGTTCTGGAGAGCCTTCTGGGCTGTTCCTGCCGTGCGGCTGGAAAGCCCTCTTGTGTTTCCCCCTGATGTCAGACTGCATAAAAGCCCTCTTTTGATTCAACATTGAAAAGGCTTTCCCCACTTCCTCTTCATTGACAAGGTAGTGAGATCATAGCTGGCCCATTCACACTAGAAAAATGTTCACCCAGAAAGGTCAGCAAGTGGGTTTGCATCATCTGAGGGGCTGCAGCAAAGGATGGTGTCTTTGTCTTACTGAGGACCATTGTGGCCAAAGTTGAGAGCGACAGCCGTTCCAGAGGAGTGGGAGCAGCGAAGGTGCTTCATTGGAACATGCCTTTCTTGGAGGCCTGATTCAAAGGCATCCTTGGGGGATACCCTCACTTGCTTTCACTGAGCCATGGTCAGGTCTTGGTGTGCCAAAAATGGACTTGGGCAACTGCAGCTGCAGGAAGGTCACAGCCAATGGTGCTGGCAACACAGCTTCCCTAAAATGGGACTTCTGAGGTTCCCCTTCATGAGGGACATTGATAAAATGTTCCCCTGCACTACAGCACGGTTAACCCCTGAGGATGTAGCCTCCTGGTCCTAAGGAAAAGTATTCAGCAGCTGGTTGGGAAATACTCTTTGATAGGAAGAAAAGTATTGCATTTCTGTCCTAGTGATAAAGAAACGGTGTCATGGACTAGTGAGTAGGAGTGTTGGTTTCATTTACAGATACATTTCCTCTCTGCAAAAGCATTTCAGTAACATTCATAGTTTTGGTTGCTTCTACACAGTGAGATCAAAAATTTATCTTTACCAAGTCCTAGACCATTCGTTTGTTTGGGGTGGTTCTGACCTGAGTCTTTGCAGGAGGTTTTTGATAGTGTTGAACAGAACGTTCTCAGCATTTTTGATCAAGGCAGCAGAAAATGGTTAGTATTATGGAGCAAATCATGTCTGTACTGCAGTTTTTGAATAACTGAGTGTTACAGTTGTTGGCAGCAATATTCATTTCCAGACTGAGAAGAACTAAATCATTTTATCTACCTCTGCTCTATCTTCTGCTTGGCCTTGGGCCATAGTCATACCAGTTATTACCATTTCTGAATGCTGTATGTCGAGCTGATTTGGGGGTGTTTAACATAGGATAACAGGAGGGAAATACTGAGAGAAAATGAACTGGAAAGGAAGGAAAAGACTGAAAAGCTATTCCCTAGCAGTTGTTTGAAGGTTGTCAAGTGAGAGATTTAGAAGCGAAATGGGCAAGAACGGAGGAAGGCAGAATGAGTTGTTTGGCTACAGTGTGTGAGGAGGTTGAGATCCTGTAGGAGAAATTGTGTGCACAGGTAAAATGGCAGTAATGTCTTAAGACTACTTTTGCTCTATGACTGCTTTTCTATCAGTGGATTAAACAGCACTTTTTAGCTGCAGTTAGTTGGAGGCTACTACCTGCAGACAGTGAGGCCTCCTAGCCACGACAAGCTAGCAGATATGAAAGGTAAATTTAAGAATAGGGCAGATGGGGGAAGCCTGGTTCCAGGTGGGACCATGAGGAGACTGAGCCCAGAGTGGTTCTCTGAGAGGGCCAGAGCAGGGTGTGCACCAGGCGCCATGGTCCTTCACACCTCGCCTTGCAGGGACAGGGCCTGGCAGCCGCCCCTCAGCGGAGAGGAGCCTAAGAGACTTGCAAGAGCCCTCAAGGGGCATCAGGGTGGCTGTAGAGCCCCTCGGGGGGCAGCAGGGAGGCCTCAGAGCCCCTCAGGGGGCAGCAGGGTGGCCGCAGAGCCCCTCGGAGGGCAGCAGGGAGGCCTCAGAGCACCTCGGAGGGCATCAGGGAGGCCGCAGAGCCCCTCGGGGGGCAGCAGTGCGGCCACGCAGCCTCCCCTCAGCGGCTGCCGCCCGCGCCGCCCTCCCCGTGCTCCCAGGGCTGCTGCCACAGGCTCTGAGGCGGCGTGCGCTACTACCGGCCCCGACAGGGCTGTTGGTCGCCCCGGGCTGTGATGGACCTCCATGGGGCTGTGACAGGATCGTCAGCCCCCCTTGAGCAGTGACAGGGCTGTGCACAACCCCCAAGGCAATGACAGGGTTGTGCACAATCCATGAGCCCAGACAGGGCTGTGAGCAACCCCCAAAGCAGTGACAGGGCTGTGAACAACCCTCAAGGTAGTGGCAGGGCTGTGAACAACCCTCAAGGTAGTGACAGGGCTGTGCACAATCCCCGGAGCAGTGACAGGACTGTGTACAACCCATGAGCCAGACAGGGCTGTGAACAATCCTCAAGGTAGTGACAGGGCAGTGCACAACCCCCTGAGCTCTGACAGGGTTGCGCACACTCCCCCGGGTCAGTGACAGCCACACAGAGCTTTTACAGAATTCGGCAGTCTTGGAGGTGTTCGAGTTTGTCACCTTTTTTAGTTTTGTTGCATTAGAGGCCGGTTGAAGAAGTTGATGCTGACGTGAGTAGTTGGTTTAGATGTGATAACCTCAAAGCAATAAGTAACACATGTAGCAGTAACAGTCCAAGATAAACACCAGGGAGAAAATACAATGAATAAGGGGGGAAAAAAGTGTTGACACAAGGCCAAATTCCATGCTGTTAGCATTGCTATCCCTGTTTATAACTACTGGAGATCAGACTTGCAACTTTTATCATTTTAGATTAGCATAAATTGCAGACCCTGGGCAGCTGCAGGTGTTAGGATATGACACAAACGCAACAATTCAACTTTGTTGTGTGTTGCTTCAGTTTGACCATTTACAGCATGGTACAAAACATCTTTCTTTTTAACTTGGTATAACCTGAAAAATATTGGATTATATTTTAACTCTAGCACAGTAAAAAGCAGATCTTCTAATTGTCTGCTAACATTCATTATGATCCTGTTCTTCAAAGCACCACCTCCTTGGTATTTACTGCTATTTAGTACCAAATAGCAACAGGAACTATCTTTGAAATTGAAAAACCAAAACATGGATAGACTCTAAAAAGTTTGATGACAGTTTATTTTTGTTGCATGTAATTTCCATTAGGGCTGGTTTATTCCGACAGTTGTAATAACCATGGCGGTTTCAAAGCTGTTTCGTGATTGCAGGGTCTCTTTCTTTGTATCTAGTGATGGAGGTGTCTTAATTACTGTTTGTTTTTGTAAATTTTAGGGATTATTCATCCTTTGATGAGGGATGACTCAGACCAACCATACATTTTCAAATCTTTTTATTCAAAGGCTTGATGGAGTTCGGTTTTCAGATAGAAGATTTTGAAACATATTGCTTTGACCTATAGTTATTTTTTTTAGCAGAAGTATTCTTATGTGTCAGCTCTTAATCTTCTTATAGAGAGAAGTGGAACTTTTGGAAAACATCTTTAATGAGGCCATTTTAGTTATTGTATCTTTCTCTGTTCAACTTTGCTGGATAAATGCAAATAGTCTTCAGAACCTGTTGACAGAAGAGGTGGTGACTAAAATGTGGATTTGAAATCCTGGCTCCATGAAAGCAGTGGCAGATCTCCCATAGACTTTTAATAAGGCCAAGATTTCACTCTAACTTCTGTTACTGTCATTCATAAGTCCCTGAAAGTTTGTGTCCAAGAGTCAAAAGAGTTTCTGGGAACAGGGAATGTGACTTTTTTTCCCCAGCCACTATGCTCGTTTTGTAACACTATTCTTCCACTTTTGGAAAGACCAGGGAATGGTGTTTTTATAGTTCGAAATTGATTTGGAGCATTAAGAATTCCACCAAACATACCAGTAAACTAGTACCAGGAGACCCTAGTGAGCTCTGAATGTGTTGGTTGTTTGGTAGTGACCGGAGATTTGGTTGTTGCACAGTTCCCTGCTGTAGCATCAGTGCATGGGAGCTCTTGTAAACAAGCAGCAGGTTACTGCAAGGAGCTGCTAGGATTGAGAGTGCTGCTTTTTAACATGATTTTCAGCTTCTGGTTCTCTGAAGAGTGGGCACTTTATGTTCAAAGGATTCTGAAAACACCAATTTGGAAATTAAAAAATACTTTGCAAACCAATCCAACCTAACACCTTCCCTGTTAGCCTTCAGCTGAAGTTTGGTGATCAGCACGTACCATGCCAGAATTGATAGTGTAGAGAACAAACACTGATATGAATACATATGCAAAAGTTGGTTCTGATATATGTGAAAACTGAATTACTTAAAACTGTAAAACCCACATGAATGGGAAATTGTTTTGTCTCTAGGGGGAAGATTGTTTCAAACTGCTGAATTTGGATGAACAAATATTCTGTGCAATAAATAATTACACGATGCGCAATTAAGATAAAAGGTGATTAGTATGCTAATGTTTTATATGGGTTTGGCTTCAGGTATATACAGGTATATATTTACCTGTGTTCAATCCTGAACTATGCTACTGTGTTTCAGTACATACCTCATCGTATTTTATAGGTGGCAAAAGTGGAATATGTTAGAAAAAAGCCAAAATTAAAAGAAGTTCTGGTGAGATTAGAAGAGCATATGGAATGCACCTGTACATCATCAAATACTAATTCAGATTATAGAGAAGAAGAAACTGGTATGTTTTCCTTTTATTTTTGTATTAATGCATATTTCTTATGGGCCTTGTTTTTATATTAGTAAAGAATGTAAAGCAAACTTCGCTTCCAGTGAACTCAGTGGAAAAGCTCCGAGCTACTTCTCTGTGTGTTGAAGATGCAAAAATAAGGGAGGATTTGTGCAGTAGAAAGAGTTTGGGTTAGAAGTGTAAATTGTGTCAGTTCTCATTAGGTTAGCCTTTAAATAAATTTAAATGCCCAATATTATTCAAATCTTGCTTAACTAAGCTAAAGGTTGTCCTATTGCAGCTGATGGACTCTCTTGCCTAATTTCTTTGACTTTGTAGAGATAGAGTTAAAGCTGAGATTTACTTGACCTTGGGGAAGTAGCCTTGAAATGAATATAAAACATCAAGGACTAACTTCTGTGTTCAGAACTAAGGGGTTTTGAAACAACAGCGCCCGTTCCTTTTGCCTTCCTACTCATGTATAGGCCAGAATTTCGTGTCAGTTGTCACATTAAACATTTTTACCGTATCAAGACAGCACCTAGATCACCACAGGGACAGATTTATGGGGAAAAATGCTTATTTTAAATGTGACTTTCATAAAGCCACCTAAAATCTTGGGCTCAGATCTTCATGCTAGAGTGCAATCAACACAGGACTTGAGAGAGATTCTGGATAACCACGACAGCAGAACGGGCTGCTCCCATCCTCTCAGTTTTGGCCGGAGACAGGCTCACAAGTTTGCTTTCACCAACCCAGGCTTTTAGGGATGGGGTAGATCCAGCCCCAGAGTAGAAACCACTGTAGATCAGGTCAGTGTAGGAGGAAGGTGATAGGCTTCATAGTTGGCTGCATAAGGAGGATTTTTTTGTATAGTTTCCATGCAATATGGACACACAAATCTGATTTGAGCAAGTGTCAGCTGCAGTTGCTACATACAAAGCAGAAAAGTTATAATTTGTGTAAAAGCAAATTAGGCCTCTGCTGTGATTCTTACCGGACATCATTTTATAATGAGTATTTTACCTCAAACTAGACCGAATGATGGGTAGACAAAAACACCTTAAAAGTGATACTTCTTTTGTATATGGTTTGATATCCTCTCTATGCCTTGTATTAGGAAAAAAAAAATTCATGAGCTCAATTTCAGGTTTTCAAAATGTCTTTAGTGGCTAAAGACTAAGCAACTGAGAATTTAAGCTGAAAGCTATTGTTTTTGATATGTGTGAAAGAATGGTGTGTAAGGAAAGAATACAATTCCCTGGGATTTCATTACTGATAGGAACAGCAAAAGGATGGTGAGCTGAAAGCAAATACTGAGTAGAACATGGCAACAGTTTTTATGGTGGGTCTTGGAAATGACATATGCAATGCCAACTTCGTTTATTATTTTTTTTTGCTTTTGTATAATTGCTTTGTAAACAGAATGTCAATTCAGAAATCATAAAGTTATTACTTTAATGCAAAGGATAATGAGGTTTCTTTGAAATGTAAACGGTTTGAGTATTTATTACTTCAGTGTTCAACAAAATGCATTACCTTAGGGCTTTTTACCAGCCCTGCCCTTATGTTAACAGGAAGGCCTAGGGAATCAGGTAAAAAACGGAAACGAAAAAAGTTAAAACCAACATAAAACCTACTGGAACTATTTGATATTCAGGTAGGACCTATATGCTGAACACCCTAATAGCACAAGCAATGGAAAACTTAATCAAATATCATCACTTCAACTTAATCACTGTTCAAAATCGTGACACTTGCTACCTCAAGGCTGCAAAGAGATTAGATCTGATTGGCTTTGATAATTCTACCTGCTGGTATTTTTCCTTTAAGCTCCACATCACCATCAGCATCTTACATTCTCGAGCTACTTCCTTTTCTTGCATTTTTTTTGTTCCTTTTTTTTTTTTTTTTTTGAGGTCGCTAATACTTCAGCTTCTGAAATCTCAAGTTCCATCGCCTCTGCTTTTGTTTCATTGTTATTGATTTCTGAGGTCAAAGCATCACATAATAATGCATGAATGAATTGCCAGATTACAAATCATTTTGTTCCCAGTCATTTGATGTAAAACATTGAGTGTACATATGGTAAATACAACGTGCATGACCATCAAACCCGTGTTTTGGCATGGACTGGGGTTGATGTTACATGCAGCTGAAATGAGCTGACAGTCTGCTACCAAACAAGGAAGATGCTCAGAGATACCATTTTTGTGTAGCACGGATTGTGTTATTTATACCGGAAAACTAAGATCTTCCTTTGCTTTGTTCAGTCTCAATAGGATGATAATGGTCATTAAAATTAATGCAGTTCTCAGAGCAGTGGAAAAACAGTAGTCTCATAATGCAAAAATGACTAAAATCCTTTGGCAGTGAATAAACAATGTATGGTCATGGCGATACACCTTCCAAATCACTTATGGAGTTGCCATTTCTTAATGACCCAAAATAATGTAAGCTACAGCATTTGCAGTTGATCCTAGTGTTTGGAGTAGGAATGATTTGGATTTGCAGTGTATGTGCCTAACTCCTGGATGATGGTGAATTTAATTTGACAGACCTGTTTTTGCACATCAACTCCCAATGCAGTTTGCATTTATGCTGATGTATTTTTTCTAAAGAATGCTAAACTTGATATCCTGTTTCAGATTAACAGGTATTTATTGGGAGTAGTATGATAGAAGCAAAGATTTTGTAAAATTCAACTTTAAAAGTGAGCATGTAAACTCAATCAAAACAGCATTTAGAACTTCTTGTCCCAGGTTAGTGACTCTTCATGCAGCACAGTTTTTTTTAAAAGTCAACTTAGAGGATAGGACCTTTGATTCTAATCATAGAGTTATTGTATCTTTTTTCTCTCCTGCAGATGTAAGGTGAAAATAAGCTAGAAAAAAAACTTCTCTCTGGGACATGGATGTACATGGTTTGTTACATTCCTGAACCTACTATGTATGGTGCTCATTGACTGTATATTTTATTTGTTCTCCTATGTGAAAAAACTGGCTCAAAAGAACACTTAATGAGAACAAAGAGACAATGTACATTTGTTTAATGTGACATCAAAGCAAGTATTGTAGCACTCTGTGAAACAATAGGAAGCTTCCCTGTCCAAAAAAAGAAAAAAAATGAAAGAAAAAAAAAATGAAAAGAAAAAAAAAGACAGTTGAATGAATGGAGGATACCAAAAGTACTCAAAAACATGACAAAAATCTAAGTGAATAGTGGATTTCTGTCAGAGCAGTCAACGGTGCTTTACGTCAAGAAATGTGCCTGTGTTCTTGATGAAGATGGATGGACGCTGATGGACTTCAGGCACAAAAAAAGCAGGAATGTATGAAATGATCAAATGCCACGCAAACACTATAGAACAATACATCCTTGCTTGGTGGTGTTTTAAAAGTCTATACAAAAAAAAACCTTCTGGGGAGCCTTAAGTGGATTTTTTTTTTTTTTTTTTTACACCATAAAGTGATTATTAAGTTTTCTTTTTACTCTTTGCCTAGCTTTTTATTATCTCTTGGACTACATTTGCCAATAACACATATAAAAGACTGGTATAACAATAGCAGAACACAAAACATTATGGTATTTCTCCTAGTGGGATGCAAACTAATGAGATGTATTAAAATAAAAATGGTATACCTATGCATAATTTTCTAGACGTTTCTTGGTTTATGTTCCCCAACCTCCCCCGTAATTTAAAGCATTACATGGAAAAGAGAGATGTGCGTAAACAAATCATAGGATATCCATGCAAAAGTCCTTTTTCCTTTAAGACTTATGCCAGTTGCCTACTAGTGATATTGTGTTAGCAATTGTCATACTTATCAGTATACAGATACTTTGATTTCACATGTTGGAGCTGTGTGAAATGTACAAATTCTTGTATCTGCATTGTACAATGTCATGGTGGCTTGGGAACTACCTTGCTGCAAATATTTGAACAAAACCTAAAATTCTTTATTTTTGGTAAAATGTTATGCTTTATGTGTATTCAACAGAAATATGTGTTTTTGTAAAGGTGAAGTTTGTATTTTTATCTAAAAATTAACAGTTTTATATACCTGAGAAAGCCTGCTATGTTTTCTTGAACCAAAAAAAAAAAAAAAAAAAGAAAGAAAAAAGACTAAAAAAAAAAACATTTTGTGGTCATATTTTTGTAGTAGAATAGCCCAAATAACATCCAAATCTATTTTAACTATAGCAGGGCAGTTAAAATACTCTGGCATCAGCTCCTGTGTTTTCAAAGAAAACGCTCAGCTCCCCGTGGATTGCAGTGGGAGCCACACGGCTAAATCCTTGTCTGCTGCTTTGGAAATTTAGGGCTGTGCCAGATTATGACGTGGCTACTCACTTGGCCAGAATCACTGCCCCAGCCCAGTAGTCTGGATTATGTACCCTCTGTTTTATTTGGAGTATTGCATTGGATATGTGAAAGGAACTACTGGATTCTCCTCTTTGTAAAACATCTACAAAGAGATGAACGCGTTTTCTCTCCTTTGTTTGGAACGACAAAAAAACCAAGTTTGTTTTGAAGAGAGCGTTTCCACTCCAATCAAAAATATCTTCAAGTGTGAATGAACTGTAGATCCTTATAACAGGAAAAAAAAAAAAGAGTGAGATTTTTAACCTTTCCATTTCTAAATATAGTCCAACTGTTCCCCTCCTGTTCCTGTAGCTATGTCCAATTTCAACCAAACAAAGCAATGTTAGCTAACAGGCATTATTGGCTTCAGATGCTAATGCAGAGATAGAGTTAGTCATCATTCTATTTTGTGATCATTTTCCCAGTGTATTCGTTGAGCACCAAAACTGGAAATACATTTAACTAAGATTGTCTGTGCTTGTTTTCCACTAAGTGTACTGTTCACAATGTTATGCACATGAATGTATGTGTCTGCGTTTAAAAAGAAAGTGTATAAAATGTAATTTATATATTTATGTTTCAGTGGGATGCCAATAATGTTGCTCAGTTCTTTTTTTTTTTTTTGTCTAAAAGATATCTAATGAAAAAAAAAAGTTCATATATCCATTAAAATCATGTAGATAAAAAATGTTACGTGACCCACTCGGACACTGTGCAGGTATGAAAGGATGTCAGAGTCACTTAAGTGGAATATTTGCAAAAGAATTATCAAGAGTCCTGTAGCTGCACTGGCATGAGCAGGTTGCATTCAGATCTGTGGGCCAGATTTCCTGGAGTAACTCCATTGGATGCAATGGAGCTCTGCTGATTTACACCACCAGTGAGTCTGGCCCTATATTTAATTCTTGAAATTATATATATATATATATATATATATATATATATATAAAAGCAATCTGAAAGGCATGCATTTGATTGGTGCCAGCAGAGAAACGCGTTATGCCAAATTCAGAAAACTATGAGAGAATGAAGACTGAATGGAGACTTTTCCAGTAATCGTTTGTTTGAGACTTGTAGTCTCTAGTTAATTTTGTTACCGGGAATGAAACGCACATGAGTCTTTGTTCTCAAGCACAGTGTTTATATGGCATGCAACAGAAAACACAAAAAATCTCAGGGCTATATTGTCAGCTAGTATAAATTGGCAAATGTTTTTGACTGCAGCCGCCCCTAAGCTAATTTACATCAGATGAGGATCCAGTCCACAGCTTTTTTAAAAACCGAGGAGTAGTGTCATGACATGTGCGCCATTTACCGTAGTCCAGCTGCAATTTTATCCGCCAGCCTTACAGGCCAAGGTAGTGTCCTTCTTGGAAATGGCAGATACCACCAGAAGGAACAGTTGCGTTAAAGGTTGTGACACAAGAGACAGTAATTCAAAGTTAAGTTGGACATTTCAAGGGCCATATCCTCAGTTGGTGTAAATCACCATTGCTCCATTGCCTGCAGTGGAGTTGTACCAGCTTACACCACTTGAGGGGCTGGTCCCTCATTCTTGCTCATCCCTTTCGCTACTCGGTCCTGCAGGGATCTCAGACTGTCGTGTACTGTTAATGTAATCCTGTGTTCTCTAATACTTAAGCACAATAAGTGAATATAAGAATGAGTGTCAGACTTAACTTTGAATGTCCAAGCTCTGAAATGGTTTGTTTCACCATTGTGGCTGTAAATTAAACAGTTCTCTGTGCATTTGTGAATGCTGTGTCCTATCTTCTTCCGCTGTCTCCTGGAGGTGGATTCCCATCTGGACTTTGAGTGTGCAGCATTTGGAGTGTTAGAGGAAAGGGTGTGAGCAATAGGAGTCTCGAGATGTTTGTCTGACAACTCTGTTATTGGGAAGTGGGGGGCTAGTGGGGGACTTGGTGAAGGAATTGAAGGTGATAGTTGCTGTAAGACACGTTTCCACTGAATCCTTTAAAACTTTGTTGTTTTGTCCTTGAATGTTGTGGGGACTTAGGGGTAAAATACTTTTCAACAACCTGTAATCTCTTCCACTGTCCACAGATTCTGGTTTCATCCTTTTTGAGGTCTTTGCTGATTAAAAAGCATGTGTGGAGGGAACTGGTGGAATACAATCTCAGTGTTACGATACTGGTGCCTGGTCACTGTTCCTGTAGTCAGTTCATTATGTTTAATTCTGTGCTTCGTCTTTTCAGAGCTGCCCTGCAGTGGCTTTGGTTGAGTGCAATGGAGGATTCCCTGCCCGCTTGCTTTCCTTTTCCTCTCTCCTCCGTCCTGCTTGGCATCCACTTTATGCTCAGGAACTGCAGCCAGTTGCTCCTCTCAGGCTCCTGGTGGTTCCTACACAGCTTGGGCTCTGATGTGGCTTTGAGCTTAGGCTTTCTACTCTGCCTGGACTGGTGTCTCACAGGTCTCCTCTTTCCGACTGCTGTCAGCATTCCAGTTGGGAAGTTCTCAGCCATCCTCCTTGGGTCAGCAGCACATCTCCTGCTGTGGGCTTATATTCCTGCTCTTCTCTACCTGACTCTAGGGAAGCCCAGGCTTTCCCATTCCTCCATCTCTGTCTCTTAGAAACTATTTTCCCTTCCTAGGTTCTTTCTCATCATCTCTCTCTTCTCTCTCCTCCTGCCTGAGAGACCAGCCTTTGATCTGTTTATCTCTAAATCAATTGCTTTATCTAGGCATGGGTCCTGAGATCCTGTCTCCCAGGCACAGAGGCCCATAACTGACCCCTGCGTGAGAGACCAATGCTGTAATATAGGCACGCACTTGAGCAGGGAAAAAGATTCATCTATTTGCAAAAATATCCATTACTGAAAGCTTCCCGCTAAAGGCCTGTCCAATTCCAGTAATAGTAGTGTGTATCTGGAATAGTCATGTTGAAGCTATTCCAGACATCTGACAGTTCAACTAAGATCAGCGACCCAGTTTATAATTTAATTAGAAAACGTGCCCAAAAGCAAAGATGAATTTTCAAAGCTTCCTCAGATTTGGATGATCACATTTTACTGTAAATTGAAGGAAATCATGTTGGTAGGCCCCTTCCACGGCTTTGAAATCTTATCCTGAATACTTATCTGACCCTCTCTTGGGCTGGAAATCTTGGTTGCTTTAAAACAGAAACAAAGTGGAGTTACGTATTTGTTTTCAAGGAAGTCATTTTTTTTCTGAGGTTGCTGCTCCTCAGCTTCTAGTACTACCAGTTCTCAGAAACACAGTCAAACCTGTGAGGACTCTGCCTAAGTTTGCTTTAATCCCAGGTAACAGAGGGAAGCTGTCAGTATTTCATGCCCCAAACTTCAGCTTATACTTTGCATTTTTCATTTTACTTAATTACTCTGTGTTTTCCCACAATTTAATAACAAGGTATTATTTATGTCTGAGCTTTTCTGTGCTGCTCTTTGCTGTAGTGTCTCACTGCAGCACAGCCTTGAACAGGTCTGAACCCCTCTGAAATAAAGAATATTGTTATCCCATTTTAGGCGAGCCCGAGGCATGGAGAAATGACTGTGCAAGGTCACACAGCAAGGCTATGGCAGAACCAGGGATAGGACTCAGATCTGAGTGCTCATCCAGTGCCCTAAATCACACGACCATCTTCCCTTTCCAAGAATGAATCCTTGCACCCTTAGAGCTAAATACTGAAAAGATTGAGGGTAAGTCATTTTGCCTAATTATTGTGCATTGGGTACATGGTCAAAAACCCTGCTGTGTCAGAGAGTGTGATGACTGATGAAAAAAGAGCTGTCTGCCCATGCAAATACAGTCTTTTATGCTATAATCAGCTAATCATTCCCTGTATCTCTAAGGAGCCAACCTTTCGTGGCTTGCAGTGCAAATTATGCACAGGGAACTAATGCAGACTCTGATTTTATGGGAATTTACAAAAATTCAGTGGGCAATTTTCATTGTACTTCCCCCTCAGTTTGTAGTCATTCGTTCCTTTTATAGCATGGGTAACATTTCCCAAGGGACCTGTGTCTACCATGGGCCCAATCACAAATTCTTTTCCCAGGCTCTAACATGGAAAAGCACTTAAAGAGTTGCCTATATCTGCCCTTCTTCATGCCCGTGCCTAAGCATGTATGTAACTCTGGACAGACATCCCCCTGACTGGAGTCAACTGGAGTTAAGGGATGCGTTACCACTCTGTTTGAATAGGATGTGATTTCCTGTCTCAGGATCACAATTCCAGGATGAGTGTCTTTATGTTCTTAGCATTGGGGTATGTTGTAAATAACCCCAAAGAAGAAGTAGCAAGACTCCAATGTGCAAGTAGAAAAACAGAGGAAATTGCAGGTGAAATTTGGGATGTTGTGGTTTAGATAAAAAAAAAAGAAAATACAATGAGTAAGATCAGAAGGTTGGTCATTTTCAGTTGTGCAGTGCTGTAATTCCTTTAGTCACTCTAAATATTTGCTGCGTCAGGCTGGAGTAGCTCAGAATCACTACAATGCACATAAAAAAGTTACGGCTGGTTCTTGTTGAACTGCTACCCTATTTCCATGGCATATGACCGTGAGGTGGGGCCTGCAATCACAGTTGTAAATCAAAGAACAAGTCATAGATTAGGTACTGTTTTCCATGGATATTGTCTCTAAGTTTATTTTCTGTATGCTAGTCTCTTGAATGATGTTTAGTGAGCTTTGCAGCTTGGTAAAAAAAAGTCAAAAATACATGGTTCCTGAGCTGAAATTATGAAAGTCATAACTCTTAGTCCTGTTAATAGTCAATACATGAAAGCTTGGCAACGTCCTGGTGATGAAATTGTTCTCATGGAAGGCTTGTGTGCCACTTTCTTCCAGTGTTATTTCTTAGTCTAGAGGAAAATCCAGACATTTTTGTATTCGATTCACTAGCAGGCTGTCAAATCTGACCTGGTTTGAATTTTTACCATCTAAAACTTCCTTATTGGACTGACCTTTGTGCATGCTAAGTGTCTTTCAGGATCTAGCTAAAAATATACAAGGAGAGGTTAACTTCTGTTCTTCAACGTTAAAAATATATATATGAAAGCTGGAGTATTCCATCACATGAGGAAATATGGAGCTACGTTTCTAAGAGGAGTTGCACATTCATCTTCCTAGAATGAGACATCTGCTTTGGATCTTGGCCTCTGCATAGTAGCTTTAATCTTCCATAATCAATGCACCCAGTTTTAATTGGTGTCTTTGAAAGCTGAGAGCGTCTGGTAAGGCCAGGTGTACAAAGAATATCAGCACCCAGAGATGCACATGAGCCCAGAGCACTTGAAATGGCCAAGGATTTTAAGAACATCTTGACACTTGAGAACAATCAGAGATCAAAAGAAGAAAAGCACTAAGGCATCTTTGCTTACTTGGCAAGTGAAAAAATATCAAGGAAATATCCTACATATAGTGCTCACCAGTGACAAAGAAGCTGTTTGTGAAAACATGCTCATGCTTAAATTTTTCAGCAGTTAATGATCGTCTTTACAGACCATAATACTCGAATACTTCACTTATCGATATATCAGGGCTTGGAAGAACTTTGAGACTTATGAAATGGGACACTCCTTAAGCCAATGATAGCTCTGTGTTCTAGTAACTGATCAACCAATTACATAAATGCCCAGATCTCTACCCTGCAGAAAACAGACACAACTCCACTGACTTCACTGGAGATGACAGTTACCTGAGAATTAACCCGAAACTCTTGACACAAAGCAGATAGTGGTTTCATATTTTGCTGTTTAGTGTTGCTGTAAAAGTAGACTCATATCCTTGAGCAGTTAAAACAAGAAGAC